CAAAGAAGATCAAAACATACAACCAGAAGAAGACAACAAAGTCAAAGTTCCTACATCCAAAGCCGACAAGAAAAATATGAATCAGTCCCAGGCCTTGGAAGAGCTCAAACAGGATTTTGAGAAGCAAGTAAGAGAAGTAGAGGAAAAACTGAGAGTGATGCAAGAAAATCATGAAAAACAAGTCAACAGCTTGCAAAAGGAGACCCCAAAAAAATACTGAAGAAAATAACACCTTAAAAAATAGCCTAACCCAAATGGCAAACGAGGTCCAAAAAGCCAACGAGGAGAAGAATGCCCTAAAAAGCAAAATTGGCCAAATGGAAAAGGAAGTCCAAAAGATCACTGAAGAAAATACTTCCTTAAAAATTAGAATAGAGCAATTGGAAGGTAGTGACTTTATGAGAAATCAAGACAGTGTAAAACGAATCCAAAAGAATGAAAAAATTAGAAAACAATGTGAATTATCTCATTGGAAAAACAACTGACCTGGAAAATAGGTTCAGGAAAAAGAATTTTAAAAATTATTGGACTATCTGAAAGCCATGATCAAAAAAAAGAGCCTAGACATCGTCTTTCAAGAAATCATCAAGGAAAACTGTCCTGATATTTTATTTTAAAACCAGAGGGCAAAATAGAAAATTGAAAGAATCCACCGATCTCCTCCTGCAAGAGATCCCCAGAGGAAAACTCCTAGGAATATTGTAGCCAGATTCCAGAGTTCCCAGGTCAAGGAGAAAATATTACAAGCAGCCAGAAAGAAACAATTCAAGTATTGTGGAAACACAATCAGGATAACACAAGATTTAGCAGCTTCTACATTAAGGGACCACAGGGCATAGAATATGATTTTCTGGAGGGCAAAGGAGATAAGATTATAACCAAGAATCACCTACCCAGAAAAACTGAGTATAATCCTTCAGGGGAAAAAATGGTCATTTAGTGAAATAGAGGACTTTCAAGCATTCTTGATGAAAAGACCAGAGCTGAATAGAAAATTTGACTTTAAAATACAAGACTCAAGTGCAACATGAAGAGGTAAACAGGAAAGAGAAATCATAAGAGACTTATTAAGGTTGAACTGTTTACATTCCTGCATGGAAGATGATATTTGTAACTCATAAGACCTTTGTCAGTAGTAGGGTAGTTGGAGGGTAAAAATTATATGTAAGCATATATAGATATAGATTGATAGACAGATAGAGGGCACAGGGTGGGTTGAAAATGAAGGGGTCATATCTGGAGAATAAAATTAAGAGGTGAGAGAGAATTATACTGGGAGAAGGAGAAAGGGAGAGGTAGAACGGGGTAAAATATCTCACAAAAAAACAGAAAAGAAAAGGTTCTTACAGTGGAGGGGAAACAGGGGAAGGTGAGAGGGAATGAGTGAATCTTATTCTCATTGGATTTGGCATAAGGAAGGAATAACACACACTCAATTGGGTATGGAATCTATCTTACCCTACAGAAAATAGGGGTGGAAGGGGACAAGAGAGCAGGAGGATGATAGAGGGGAGGACAGACTAGGGGAAGGAGTAATCAGAAGCAAACACTTCTAAGGAGGGATAGGGTCAAAAGAGAGAATAGAATAAATGGGGGCAGGATAGGATGAAGGGAAATATACTTAGTTTTTCACACCAGGACTACAATGGAAGTGTTTTGCATGACTATATATGTATAACCTGTATTGGGTTGCTTGCCTTTTCAATGAGGGTGGGTAGGGAGGGAGGAAGGGAGAAAATTTGGAACTCAAAGTTTTAAAAACACATTAAAAAATTATTTTCACATGCAACTGGGAAATAAGAAACACAGGAAATGGGGTATAGAAATCTATCCTGCCCTACAGGAAAATAGAAGGGGAAGGGAATAAGAGAAGGGGGGGTGAGATAGAAGGGAGGACAGATTAGGGGACGGGGTATTCAGAAAGCATGCCATCTTGGGTTGGAGGAGGGGTGAGATGGGGTGAAAATTTGGAACTCAAAATCTTGTGGAAGTAAATGTTGAAAACTAAAAATAAATAAATTGAAAAAAAAAGGAAATAAAAAAGAGGCTTGAGTGGCAGGAATGAAGACAGGCAGGGCAAGGGCCCACAGAATGCCACATGTTGCCATGTGACCAGAACATAGGCTGTAAGGAGGCTCAACTTTCAATGAGCAGGTGTGTGCGTGGACAGGAGGGTACGTGAACTTACGTAAGTGTGCAGGGAAAGGCAACACCCAATGTTTACAGAGGTTGAGTTAGTTTGCAAGACGCCTCACAAGTAGGGTCTCACTTGAGCCTTATAACATTATTGTTCCCACTTTGCGGGTGAGAAAACCGAGGCAGACAACGGTTACATGACTTGTCCAGGGTCAACTAGCTAGTAAGTGTCTGAGGCTGGACTTGAACTTAAGTCTCCCTGACTCCAGGTCCAGAGCTCTATCCACTTTGGCACCTAAGGCAGGGGGTGTGTATGTGTGTAGACTGGAAAGGTGGGCAGAAGCCTTTCTGCCAAGTACAGGAGTTTGTACTTGATACCAAAATGAATGAATGAATGAATGAATGAAAAAACATTTACTAAGTACTTGTTCTCTACCAGTTCCTGTGCTAAACCTCGGGGTACTAATACAAAAGGTAAGCCTGGAGGGTTACTGAAGAGCAGAGAATGATGGAGCAAAAGAACTGAGAGTGTAGGAAGTCTGAGGAGCCAGAGAGTGGTCCAGGAGGGCTGTGGACCTGAGAGGGGCCACAGAAGTGGGAGGGGAGAAGACTCGAATGACACGTGAAAGAGTCCACCCTCTATTCCTGAGGCCACGTCAGATCCTGCTAAGAGGCTTCCAGGGCAGCCAGGCAAGAAGTGCCGCTGCCAGCTCCTCTTGGCCATGCCCCTCCCCCACTTCACAAGCCCAATGGGACATTGGCAGAAAAGCCAACATGGCGGCTCCCTCTGCTAGGATGAGGGAAGTCTCTACCAACGATTCCTCCAGGGACGGAGAAGACTCAGGCTCTCCCATCTGCCCTGCCATTATGTGCCAAGGTCATCTGGGCCTTCCCATTTGCCCTCCAGGCCTCCGGGAACCACCATCTGACCTGCTGATGCCCCCAAGGGCCTCTGGGCCATGCTCTCCGTCCTCACCACTGTGCCCTTAAGACTTTCGTACCTTTCCACTGGCCCTGCAAATGATCTCCTTTACACGTCCTTGTGTCCCGCAGTTCAAGTGTGATCTGTCCTTCAGAGCAGGGATAGTCTTGTCTTGTTTACCCATCATTTAGCACAGAACTAGGTACACAGTAAACACTTAATAAATCATTTTTCATCCATCTGCATTGTATTATCTGATTAGGAGAAGTAAAGAGGCCTTCATGCAAAACACTGATCCTTCCTGTTCTGAAGTCAGGCTCAGAATGCCTCCCTATCTGTCTCCAGAAATAGCGTTAGAATAGCAGAGAAAAGAGATGGAAAAGTTCTCTGGGCTACGTTCCAAAGGGTTACTAGTCACTTTAAACATTTCTGAGTTTCTACAAAAATGAAGAACAAACTAAAAAAAGAAAGAAAAAGAAAAAAGAGGGAGCAAGGAAAGGAAGGAAGGAAGGAAAGGAGGGAGGGAGGAAGGAACGGAGGGAGGGAGGGAGGAAGGAAGGAAAGGAGGGAGGGAGGGAGGGAGGAAGGAAAGGAGGGAGGGAGGAAGGAAGGAAGGAAAGGAGGGAGGAAGGAACGGAGGGAGGGAGGGAGGAAGGAACGGAGG